CCAAGAAACATATCCGGATTCCGTGAGTTCTGAACTCTTACCGATTTCGGAACTCAAACGTTAATAAAAAAAAATGAGCAGTTATCATTACAGTAATACAGAACTCACGAAATTCTTAGGCTTTTCAGAACCTGAGAAACTCTCAGAAACGTCAGAAATCTCAGAACTCAAGGAATTAACAGAATTCGAGAAACTCAAGCAACTGTGAGAGCTGAAGCAGCTCAAAGAACTCGAGAAACTCTGAAAACGTAAAAATCCGACGAATTGTAGGAAGTTGTGGGTTTGTAAGCTGACCTTCACTTCAACATCAGACAAATGTACAAGCACAACAACAACTTCATTCGCACCTACGCTAACACACCCACAGTGGCACACCAACATCAGCACATTACAGACGCAACGATACCGACATGCACATCCATATGCATACCCACTACTGTCCTATGTGGGAGGTTGTCTGATATTGTAATTGAAAATTTCTTCCTGAGAAGTTCGTGTTATTATGCACTAAGTGACTTCAAAACCACATCCATACCCTCTGTTTTGTAGAGTATGAAATTCTCTACAAATCTACGCTTGAAAAAAGACTTGTTCACATCTCTTTCAATGCACAAATGGAACAATACAAGAGGCCCTATACATGATTAGCGTAGACATGGGTATTCATCAACCCAATTTTTCAGCATAGAGTACTTATTTGAGTAGAATATCTGATGTAGTTTGTTATGCTCTTTCTAATGATATGTTAAACAGTGAAATTGGGCAAACATGGTAGGAAAAAATTAGCTTTTATCACTTTCTTTGTCGAGTTTCCTAGTATGGCTCAGAAAATCCTATTTTGGGACCTTAGCTGAAGGAAAGCTACAGTCAAAGGTAGTCATCATGTAGAGCACAATTTGCTCTTTCGAATGATGTACCATGAAGAAAATTATATGTTGAAATAGCCACGCAGTGGATCGTAAAAACAAGTTGTTGAATAATTTTGGAAGGAGGAAAAATGGCATACTACGATTGTGTTGCTAATAAAACCTTAACGGATCGGCGGATTGAACTGAAATTTTCTGTGGTTATACTAGAGACTATGGCCTATAATATGACGAGAACCAGAATATTCTAGCCCGTCTAGCTTTTGAGATATAAACAAAACAAAAAAAATGATCTGCCTGTTGAATAATTTTGGTATCCACTGTATATATATATATATATAGGGCACGAATGTGTTGCAAACAACAACAAAACTATGAGTAAAGAAGCTGGTTTCGAATTAGAAATAGAGATTTCTCGTAGAGAGTATCAAGTGCTTTTACTTCATGAATTCAGATTGGGCCGTACAGCAACGGAAGCAGCAAGCAACATATGCAGGACGATGGGCAATGATGTACTCTCCATTCGTACAGCACAACATTGGTTCAATCGATTTAAGAGCGAGAACTTCAAACTTGACGATTTACCTCGTTCGAGAAGACCAGTGAAGGTGAACATTGACTTATTAAAGCAGCTTATCGAAGAAGATCTGGGATTAATTACAGGCCATCTAGCAGAGCGCCCATGTGTTCGACTGCGGTCAAACTGCGACGCAATTACGGCGTAACTGCGATCGTAGTGTGATCCGTAATTGCGAAAAACTGCGACGCAGTTACGGTGTAACTGTGTCGCAGTTACGCGTAACTGCGATAAAAAAATTGCAGTTGCGGGTAGTTACGGTAAAAAAATTGCAGTTGCTAAAAAAGACGGCATAGGTGACATTTTCACTTTATTAATATTTTTATTAGGAATTACAAAAAATTTTTAAAATACAAAAAAATAAAAAAATTAGAAAAATACAAAAAATTGCTAATAAAAAATTTTTAAAAAAGTTGAAAAAATAGGAAAATTTAAAAAAATAAAAAAAAATTATAAGAAATGAAAAAGTTTAAAAAATTTTCAAAAAATAAAAGAAATAAAAACCTAGAAAATAAAAAACATATAAAAGGACACGTCTCAAGCATACAATCTCATTTCTTTCTTTTTCTATTACCAAGATACTTCATTTAATCTCTCAAATTATCAAGGTAAGCGTCATGAGTACTTTAATAAAGTAGTTAAAGTAGAGATTTTTTCACAAAAGAAGAGCTTTTTTAAGAAAAGAACGATTTTTTATAAAGTTTGATCGAAGGTTTTAGAGATCGAGGAATCCGAATCTGAAATTCGTTTCTCAAAATTTTGAGTTCGATTTTACCACAAAAATGTTTTTTGTAAAAAAGAAAAAAAATATTCTTTTACAAAAAAATTTGTGGTGAAATCGAACTTAAAATTTCGAAAAACGGATTTCAGATTCGGATTCCTCGACCCCTAAAGCCTTTTGATTAAACTTTATAAAAAATCGTTCTTTTCTTAAAAAAGCTCTTCTTTTGTGAAAAAATCTCTACTTTAACTACTTTATTAAAGTATTCATGACGCTTACCTTGATAATTTGAGAGATAAAATGAAGTGTCTTGGTAATAGAAAAAGAAAGAAATGAGCTCGTATGCTTGAGATGCATCCTTTTATACTCCATTTAGCCGTTATTATTGGTGTTTAAAAACCATCGAATTGGAAAATTAAGATATTTATTTATCATTGGCTATTTTTTCAGCAACGGCGAGAACAGTGAATATTTTTGCAGGCACTGCACTCACTGCGTCGTAGATGCGAACGCAAATGCGTCGCAGTGAAAGAAGTCTATTTCTTCCGTCTCAACTGCAACCAGTGCGTCGTAGTTACGCGCAACTGCGACGCAGTTGTTTAAAAAGTGATGACATGGGCGGCTTGGATGCTCTTATACTGCGGTAGAAAAACATCTGAGCGAATTAGGCAAGACATGGAAATATGGAGTTTGAATATCCCATGAATTATTACTACTTCAGCTCCAACACAGAGTCGATTCATATATGGAATTACTGACTTCTCATCGCAATTACGAATGGCTCCGCGATCTTATTACCGACGATGAAAAGTGGGTAATGTATGTCAACCGCACACGCAAGCGCCAATAGCTGAGAGTTGGAGAAAGAGGTATACCAACGCCAAAAGATGAACTTCATCCAATGATGGTTATATTGAGCGTTTGGTGGGGCATAAGAGGTGTAATTCATTGGGAACTTCTTCCAACTAGTAGCACTGTTACTGCTGATCTTTACTGCCAACAATTGAATCGAGTTGCAACAAAACGTCGGGGAAAGCAGGATAAGGTTTATCTTTTACATGACAATACCAGATCTCACATTGCTAAGTCAACGCGTGAAAAGTATTGAAGCTTGGATGGACTGCGAGTCCACATCCACCGTATTCTCCAGACTTAGCTCCTTCTGAGTACCATTTGTTCCATTCTCTTACCGATCATTTACGTGAAAAAAAATTTGACAACGAACACGACCTCACAATGGACCTCGGCAACTTCTTCAGCCAAAAGTCCCAGGAGTTCTACAAACGCGGAATCCTTTCTCTTCCAGAACATTGGCGACAAGTCATAGACAATAATGGAGCATACATTATTGAAACTTAATTGTATTTTTGTAGTGAAAAAATAAAATGAAATTAAAAAAAAACGTAAAAACTTTGTTGCCAACCCAATCAAATTAGATATTCGTTAAGCAATAATATTATCATTTCTTCGGTCGAAAATTTTTATTTCTGACAAAAATAAACAAAACCATCTTCTTCGGCTTCTTGAAGTAAGAAACTTTGAAATTAATTTTTCTATTAATGAATATCTATTGAATCAGTTAGCAAAAATACCTAAAAGAAATCATGAAGAAAAAACTGAATAGTTTATGGAAATTTAGACTATCTTTAGTTGACATTACTAAAATTGCACAGCAAGCTACTGATCTGTATCAATATATTAGTTTAATTTTTCCATCTTTTGTAACATATTTAACATTTGAATTATACAAATCAGGTATAATCCATTCGTTATGATTGATTGAACAGCAACGAATAGGTACATAATCGACTATAAATAAGATCAAATCAAATGTAAGTGACCAAAATTAATCAAACATTTCTAATGATCTCAATTCGATATGAAATGTTTGTTTCGAATGTTTATCAATGATTAAAGCTAAAGTTTCATTATTATAATAAATATCTTCAATACTTTCATCCAGTTTACATATATTAGGAGACACAAATTGTTTAATCATTGCAAATGAAGGTGATATAAAACACAACCGACAATCAGCGATATCTGTTGATAGGTCTGTGACATCTATATATATATATGTCGTAGTAGAAATTAAAATTCAGTAAAATTTAAAATTCTACTAGTAAAAAATAAAATTTTAATTCTACTACCACATATACACTAGCAATAGCATGGACCAATAGACTACACTTTGACTGACTTCACTTCACATCATTGATATTTTGCCAAATATCATTATTATTAACTCAAAAACAATATCAATATGAATATCCAAATTCAAGAAAAATTACCATTTGTCAGTCAACGTTCAACAAGTCTTATTGAAGAATTATATAAAAATCTAATGATGATACCTGAAGATCAAAATCAACAACGTAAAACATGTACACAACTTTTGGATGATATGATTGAATCATTAATTGACAGTTTATTCGTAGCTGAAAATTCTATTCATGAGAAACAAATTGATGTCCTTTTGAATCAAACAAAGTTTCATCTTGAAAAAATTAAAGAAAATTTTTGGAAATCGACATTAAATATTGAATCATTTCGTATCTTATTTAATGAATTAACAGAATGTATTGAAGGTTCTTACAAAATTATGTCAAATATATTCAAATATGTTTCTGTAATAGTTATTCTTTTTTTGTTTTTTTTTCAATTTACTATTTTCTTTTCTATACGATTTATTTAGAGCAAAACTAATAAATTAACAACAGAAAATCAAACTCTATTTACGAAAATGGATGATATTAAAAAAACAAATACACAATTACTTACAGATATTGAAGCAATGCAAAAAGAACAAAAGGAATTCAAAGAAAAAATTGAACAACTTGAAGAACGAGAATTAAAAAGAATAGAAAAAGAAAAATGTTCTGAACGACAAGCGTTGATCAGAGATTTATTTTTAGTACCTAAAAATCGGTTACGTGAAGAATTGATACGCAACAATCTTCCAGAAACTCAGGTGGAAATTTATTCAAAACGAAAAATTGATAGCAAGAAATTATTATCTGATTATCCATTATTATATTCAATTTTACAAAAGGTATCCGAAGAATTCGAAATTGATCCGGTTCACATGTTGAATTATCTTAAACAAGAAAAAGATTTAGATAAATATTTTCATCTTGATGCCGATCTTACAAAATATGCCTATGAACATACAAATTATGATTTAAAACAATTTTTAGAAAACAAAAAAATGCATTCTCTTGATGAAGAAGAGTACGTTCTATTACAACCGGTTTTTATAAACATTTGTCAAACAATAAACAACGATGATTAAGCATAGCTTAATACAAAAGATACATCAGATCAGTGGCGTAGCCAGGAATTTTTCACCATTGGGCCGTTTCCCAACTAAACTATTCTGAGGATTGGGCAACAATGGGCAATTAAAAAACAATTGGGCCACAAATTTTTAAAACTTATTGCCATCACAAAAACGAATATTTATTGAAGAGAGGCTCATGGTTCTCAAACTAAGAAGCGAGTTTACTACAGCTGGAGCTAAGAAAAGTTATGAAGATTCTTAGCCTCAATCGTTGCTGCCGTTGGAAATTACTGTGTAATATTCATTTCAAATAAAGAGACATAAATATCTTTTGATGGGAGCATGGTAGAGATATGCGGTGTTCACCACTGGATGGTGGAGGTAACAATGCAATAAGTCCTGTCTTATTGAATTTCTGACACATTTTTTGAATTTCTTTCGATTTATTCAAAAAACATACGTTTTTAGATGGATTTATAGAATAAACTTTCGCCACAATACAACGAAAAGCAAACTTTTCTGCTAATTTTATTAAAAAATTGCTTAACCTCTCGCAAATAAATCCCTATGATGCATTATGAAAGGGTTCTAATAGTGTTCGATTGGCCCTGTTTTACAGATCTTTCATCGATAGTTCTAATAGATGTCTCCAAATTGAAAATCCATTGTGATGACTTCATGCTCTAGATGAATTTCTATAACGTTCAAACCAGAACTCTCTGAAAAACATATCAGAAAATCTGCAAGACACGATTCGATGCACTCCCGTTTTTTCGAATGGTGAATTCCTACTTATGAGGAAACTACTCCAACTGATTCCGAGCTTTCGGTTTCATCTTTTGGCTACAGATAGGCCTCAATGGGACTAAGAAAACCCTAGAAGTGTTTGTGCCCACGGCTCTTCCTTCCCGAGATATGGTCAAAACTATGTCATAACAAAAGGATTTTTTTTTATTATTCAAAAGTTTCTTTTTTATCATCAAAATGGGTTGTAGATTTTTCTTTATACAGTTAGCTCTAGTAATAGCTTGTTTTCTACAGTAAATTGCAGAAAACAAGCTATTACTAGAGTTAGCTGTTTAAAGAAAAATCTAAAACTGTTTTGATGAAAAAAAAAAATTTTACACTAATGAGAAAAATCCCTTTTGTTATAATATAGTTTTGACCATATCTCGGGAAGGAAGAGCCATGGACACGAACGTTTCTAGGGTTTTCTTAATCGCATTGAGGTCTACCCGTAGCCAAAAGATGAACCCGAAAGCTCGGAATCAGTTGGAGTAGTTTCCTCGTTAGTCACTTGTGAATTTATTGCTAAGCTTCACTTTAGTAAAGTTTTGCTCGCATGTTTTGGTTAAAGCAGCTACATCACTGAGTAACTCTTACTCTTCTCTTTACTTCTATGCTATTATACGTTGCATCGATTTTATTACCGAGTAGATATATAACATGAGAGTTTCATTTCAGTATGATTTGTACACCATATTGCGATAAACATCTCGTTTCATATCTTAACCCGGTAATAAATTTCATGCAAAGTGTGGCAAAATAGAAAGAAAGAGAGAAAAGACTTTTCTCCGAAAGTATAAATTCTATTATTCATAAAGACGGCAGAAATTTAGGCGTAATGAATGATAAATAGTCTCTACAATCATTATTCGATCAAAACATGAGTGGATATTAAAGAACGGAATGTTTTGAAGAAATGGGATGCACTATTTCTTCACAAACGTCAATCTAGTCTATATTCTAGCTAATAGTTACGAATAATCATTCTGATTTACATTCTGTTTGATTTGTTAAGCTAGTGAGAAGAACAACTAAACTCAATAATTTTCTCCTAGTGGAAGCTTGAACTCCTATCCAGCCATCTCTTGACTCCGCCACTAGTGGGCAGTGCTAAAAAGTCAATTGAAACCAACCTTACTATAAAATATCCAAATGAGCAAAAAAGTTTGGATTTGGTGGCTTTAGATGATGATCATTCAAATGTTCTTAAAAAAAGAATCAAATTTTGACGAATGCCTCTATTTTATCATTAGTGAATCTTTTCCAAGCTTACAGATGTTTTCTATGCTGCTGTAATTTTCAGTAAGCTCTGTATCATCCGAATTAAAGACTGTAATATCAATGTAGTTACTCTTAATCCGTGACTTATATTTTCAGATTACTTTCGTTTGATGATTAAATCGGTTCCGTATTTATTAAGTTGCAAAAATCTTGCCATTACTACTGTTTTTAAAGTGTTTAGCTAAATTACTACAGTCGATTCCATTTGACACGATTCTATATGCTCAGAAAAGTGGATAAATATGCATTTGTCTTTAATTAGGGAACTTTAAGCAACTTGGCGAGTGTTTTGACAAAAAAATACTATTAAATTGCAATTATCATGAATTAAGACCGCTGCTGCATCAGAAAAGATGGTCAATTTATCTTTCTCCATCGCTTGATTAAATCACTATAAGAGCGATTTATTAAAATAACGTCAATTAAGTCTTCGAAGGCACTATATCAAGCCTTTTAAGCATTGGGCAATTGCTATAGTTTCCAAAAATCATTGGGCAATAACTTTTCAACTATTAGGCAATTGTCCATTGGCCCAAGGCTGGCTACGCCACTGCATCAGATACATCAAGAACAAACACAAGAGTTTTTTATTATATGAAAAAAATAAAAAAAAATAAAAGATGAAAAAAATAAAAAAATAAAAGATAAAAAAAATTTTTGTTTTTCGGGTGTATTAAAAATGAGTTTGTATGCTACATAAACTGAGAGTAATATCTATAAGAAGCTAATCCGATTTGTGAATGTCTTTGAAGACTATTTATAGATACAACATCAACCATCAAAAATTGAAGAATATAATGATTTAACACCTGAACAAGATTAAATACGACAAAAAAACTTTATTGCCATTTCGTTTTTGAGATTTAAATTTAGAGTTTTTTGTGTTTAGAAACAAAATGAATTACTTTAGAAGTATAAAGATGCTTTAAGAAAACAAGTACCAAATGATGTTTTAAAAGAATTACTTGAACATAATCAGCAAAAACTTCTTACTGAAAAATCACATGTAAAATCACTTATTACATTTTAAAATTATTTATCTTTTTTAAATTTAGTTAATTGATACAATTGCAGATTGTATGGCCTTTGGTCCATTAGAATACTGTTTAGCATAATGTTGAAGATTTCTTATTTTTAAATAAAAAATTACTTTTCTAGGAACGGTTTTTTTTTTATTGTTTATTTTAGTTATACATGTTACCGTTGTACAGGTCATGTTATAGAATGGACAAAATTTTCTTATTCAACAACAACATGAACAAGAAAAATGTTGGATATACTAGATGATATTAAAACAGAATATGATGCTTTGCAAATATTTGTCTTTTTATTGACATTTTTCAAGTTTTGTTGTGTTTAGTAAACCATAGAAATATAAAAAACATGATCGAGTTTTAGCAAGAGTCATTGAAAAGCAAGTTACTATTATTAAAGCACCCGATGTTTCAAGAGTTATTCAAGAGTAAGTTTTGTTTTTTTTTGAACTAATATTACATTAGAATAGGATTTCGATTTTAAGAGAAGATCGTTTTATCTAATTTTGATTTATCTAGTTGTTGTTGAGACTTAAAAAATAGTAATGTTTCGTTTTGTCGTCATTTGTTGTTCGATAGTATTGAAATATATGTTTGGTAAAAGTGTTTATTTTGCTGATATAGTTTCAAAAAGTATTAAGTTATTTTTCTTTTTTTGTTGATTTCAATTGATTTAAATAAATATTTTTATCAAATTGCTGTTTTGTAACAAAACAATCTCTACAAGGATTAATGCTTTTATGTGAAGTAGCACTTGGAAAAATGCATGAACGTTATCAAGTAACTAATTTATCTGCATAAACTTTACCAGCTAATACACATTCAACTAAAGATTGTCGATCAACTATGTCAAATCCAAAAGGTTGGATTTATTTCAAAGAATATCTTAAATTGAAATTTTATTTTTTTTATTAAATAGAATATTATTATATAAATGATGATGTACTTATTCCAATGGGTTATGATGGTCCATCAAATGCTCGACAAACTTCATTGTTATATAACGAATATATTGTTTATAATACTGATCAAATCAATATTGAAATATCTTTTGCGTGTTGATTTTCAATAGAAATATTAATTAACTGTTTCTTTTATTTTTTCTTTAATTTCTTTAAAAAGAATTAAATTATCTATTTTTTGTTATCGTTTGTGTTCTGATAAAAGAAAAACAAGAAAGAAAAACGTCATTATGAAAGAAAATCTATTCTTTTCTTTTGATTTAATTTTTTCTATATTATATTCTGTATTATTGAAAGATTGGTGTGGATATATCTTCAGAATAAATAATCAAAATTAAAACTTTCTTTCTTGTTCTTTGATATCAAGGTTTGGAAGTTAGGATTGGCTAATACGTTTTCATGAATGGTATGTACAAATATCATTAAGAAAGAGCTCTAATCAAATTCATTCATAGAGCTATTAATCTATTCAATGCATCGTGCTAGAGTCATTAGTAAAGTACTAAAAAGAAAGATTTTTCTTTTCGCTCCAGACAAGATCACGGGGTTGCAAACAAAAAGTTTTCGATATTTTTAAGAAATAATAATCTAGAACCAAACGTGTTTGACTAGTTTTCTGACACACATAGACGGAATGAGCGGAAAGGTCCTGAAAAACTCGTCAGCTGTTTTTGGGATCGACTGACCGCAGGTTAAAATGTGATTATAAACTACTGACATGGGCCATTGATTTTATCCAATGCTTTAGTATTCTCAATAGTTTATAAACACACACAGACACACA